AATAATATTATTTTATTAGTTAGTTAATAAAGTGTATAAAAGATTGTGATATTTTTGTAATTTGACTTTATATATAAAGTAATTGTATGTATAATGATATATTTGTAATTTAAATAAAAATTTAGGGTATCTTATTATTATTATACGATTATTTTTTTCTAAAATACTAAATGATACTTTGAATTGAGAGAGACAAAAATAATAAAAATTATATTTTGAATTAGAACGGATATAGTACTTAGTAAAGTTAATTATTATATACTATAAATAATTATATATTAATATTAAAATAATTAAATAATTTAATTAAAATAAAAAAAATTGTAGATTATAAAATTTTAAAAACAGCTAAAAATTATTTTTCAAAAAAAGAAATCAACAAATCATGTGTGAAAGGACGAAAATATAAAATATAAACAACATATATGAGACCTAATATAATATTTATGGTGTATTTTGTTTTGATTTGAGTTTATAATTATTTTAAATTTTAATTTGAATAATATTTTTAATATGATATTTTAAAAAAAATAATATATTTTTATTTAAAAATATTATATAAATTGAATAATATTAATTTAGATTTAAAATTATAAAAAATAAGTTCAATTTTATTTATATTATTATTAAATCAAAGCTTAAAACTTAAAAGAGTAAACAAGCTCAAAGGAAACAAATCGATAATCACTTCCTCACATTCCTATCTAAAACTTGATTTTATACTATCTTCATTTGCTCAAAAAATGTCTTTGTTTTCTATCTGAAAATAATTTTATCACTATTTATTTCATACATTTACAAAAAAAAATACATTAATATTATTTTTTTAATAGAATATATCCGTTCACCCAGTGTTTTAGATAAATTAATTTTCGGTGTATGGTATCAAAAATTGTGTAAAAAATATAAAATATATTACATTATTTCAAGTTGAAATTTTTAATTTTTTGATTTTTTGTAATGAGTATTTGAATTTTTTTTTTACATTTTTTTATTTTTATAAAATGTATTTTGTATAGTTTATTATTATTTTTGAAAAATTACAATTGAAAAATAGTGTTGAATGGACATATCTAAATATTATTCAAATCAATGTTTAAATAAAAATTCTAATTTTGAATCAAAACCAAGTAAATTCAATGTCTTTTATTATTCTCTATTATACAAACAAAAACTATATATATATATATATATTTATATAAGTATGAACCTATAATGTATTAAAAATATTATTAAATTTACACATATTCATATCAATTTTATTATACCGGATTAAAATGCAAACACAAATAATATTTGCATAAAAATATTTTTTCATCTATATTAAAATATAAAGTAAACTATTTTTCTATTTTAGATCCATTTATCATTTTAGTTTAATAACTGTATATTGTTTTAAAATAGTCTCGTAATGAAAATTTTTTTCAATTTAATCCTCAATGTCTACGTGGCATCTGCGTAGCATGTTGGCGGACACGTGTTGGCCAGGTCAGAACCAGTACATGTGATCGCCACGTGCATCATTTTTAGTTTTTTTAAATAAAAAATATATATAAATTTAAAATTTAAAAAATAAAATTTAAAATTTAAAAAATTAAAAGAATATATATAATTAAAAAATATACTAATATATAAATTAGGAAAAATTGTAAAATAATGTCCGTATGTAGGTCAAATTATCATTTTCGAATATTTTTTTGTCACTTTCGCAATTTAGGGCATTATGTGTACTCCGAATATTATTTTTTTCCTCTGGCGGCGGAAAAATGCACGTGCGCCTTCTTGGCATAGCCGGCGCATACGTGGACGTCGCCGTTGTTGTGTTGTCGTCTGAGTGGTCGTCGGACAGGTGACGTTGATTTTTTTTTTTCACTTTCATAATTTAGAACATTATGTGTACTTCGGGTATTATTTTTGCCCTTTGGCACTGGAAAAGTAATTTGGTCTAGGTTTTTTTTATTTCAATTTGGTCCAATTGGATCAAATTAAAAATATGTTATTTGCAATTTGGTTCAATTTGGCTAAATTAAAATTTTAAAAAATTATATAATTTTTTTAAAAATAATAAAATAATTCCACGTCACATATTCGATGGCCTTAGAACAAATTATTTTTTCAAAACAGATGGCAAAAATAATACTTGAAATACACATAATATCATAAATTGCGAAAGTGAAAAAAAAATTATTTCACATCACATGTTCGACTACCACGCGAACGGCAACACAACAACAGCGATGTCCACGTATGCGCCGGTAATGTCACGAAGGCACACGTGACGGTCACGTGCGTATTTCCGGCGCCGGAGAGCAAAAATAATGTCCGGAGTACACATAATGTCCTAAATTGCGAATGTGAAAAAAATTGTTGAAAATGATAATTTGATCTACATGGTATTATTTGCAATTTTTCCTATAAATTATTAAAGGTCACGTGGCGCTGACTTGACGGACATATGAATAATTTTTAATTTAAATTAAATTAATTTTTTTTTATTTTTAACTTCTATATTTTTATTTTTATTTTTATTTTTATGAAATTACAAATATAAAAGTAAAAATAATCCACATGACGGACACGTGTCAGCAACATGACGCTGACCTGGTCGACATATGTCTGACAACATGCCACGCAGATGCCACGTAGGCATTGATGACTAAATTGCAAAAAAAATTCACTTACGGAATAATTTTAAAACAACCTCAAGTTACGAGACTAAAATAATAAAAGGGTCTAATTATGATAATTATGAAAAAAAAAAAACAGTTTACCCTAAAATATAATTCATTTCTTTCCTTTGATTTATTTGAGAATTTTTAGTTTGAATTTGATATTGAAATAATATTTGATTGAATGTTTTATGAGATTTTTTTTTTCTTCCGAAAAATGGAAAGCCAAATACTCTCTCCGTCTGTCTTTAAGAATTACATTTACCTTTTGCGTCATTGTATTTAACATTAAAAATATTTTCCTTATATTTGTATAATTATTTGACAAATATCCTTCTATTAGTATTATAAGACACTAATGAAAGTATTTTTGCAATTTTTTCTTAATTTGTACTATGTTTTGATATAATAATTAATATTCAAAGATCAATACGCAAAAAGTAAATGAGACTCTTAGAGTTGAACGGAGGTAGTAGTATTTTTTCCGTCCTGGCTAAATTGTCCGTATTATTGTAAATATAAAAATTTAGGTAAAATATAATTAATAAGTAATTAACAAGTGTGTTCGTAAAAATAATTATAAATTAATATTAAAATAACTAAATATTTTAATTAAAATTTAAAAATATATATATATAAATTATGAATTTTAAAATGTTATTAAAATGTAATCATATTTCTAAAAAATAATAAGAACAAATTATATGAGATGTACTAAAAAAAAAAAAAATTAACATTTTATATTAGACCGATGGAGTAAAATTTGGAAACTTTGAACAAAATAAATACACATACAGAGGTGGCAATTCGGGCCGAATGATCCAATTCCAAGCTGTGTTGGGCTAGCATAACTCGATTTACAATTGAGCCTGAAAAAGACCAGCCCGAGCACGACCGATTTGAAACGAGGCTATGTCATTCTAGCCTTTTTTTTTCTTTTTTTTTTTATATTTTAAAATTTTTATGTTTATTTTTTTAGCTTTAAATTAATTTAGAACAAAATATAATTAAATAGTAAAAAATAGAGAATTGAACTTACAACCATAGCTTTACCAACAAGTCATGTTTAATTTTTTTAGATTTGAATTAATTTAGAACAAAATATAATTAAATAGTAAAAGTGGAGAATTGAATCCACGCAATATTAATTTAATAATTGTACTATATATATCTAATATAATATACTTTACACTTTTTACAATATATTATACCGTTATTTTTATATTATATAATACTAACATAAGTATTTTTATATTTTTACTGCAAATTACTATAATATTAATATTTAAAAATTTATGTTAAAAAAATAAATGAATTAAACTCTTCTTTGAGGAGGGAAGAAATATTAAAATAATATTTAAATTAAAAAGTAAATTATATAATATTCATTTATGTTAATATAAAATTTGCATGAAACTCATTTTTTAGTCTAGAGCTGATATTTCATAATACATATAAATCCAAAAATGTAAGTTTTATACAAATAAAAGAGATAAAATATTGTATTAAAAAATGGAGTGTTATATAATTTACAATTGATTAATCTTTCATCTTATAATTTTTTGAGACAATTTGTTATTTGATTTTTACAAAAAAATTATAAAAATAAATTATTAATCAATTATTTATTTTATTCACAAAAATTATTTAAGATATTGTAAGTATTTTATTTGTATTAAATTTGTATACTTTAGGTTTTATTTAGAACAAAATATCATCTTTGTACAAAAAAAAAAAAAGTGTTTTACGCAATAAATAAAGTACAAACTATTTTGTACATCTGTATTAAAACACAAGAGTATTTTATAGTTTACCTTAAATTAAAATTCATGTTTAAATATATTTCTGCCCAACAAAAATATATTTTAGTCTTATGTAATATTTTTTTCTTCTCACATTCCATGTCAGGGTTACTGTATATACAAAAATAATTTACCGTATACACAAAAATTTAAAATAAGTATAATTAATATATAATTTAAAATGTATTAATGATATTTTGGTAAGAAATATTTTTAATAGGAATAACAAAACTGATAAAAATATTAATTTGAATTGTGAGGAAAGAGTATAAGGAATTAATTAATATTGTTACCAAAAAGTCTTCGCTATGAAAAGTAGTTAGTACCTTGTTCGGATGACGTCATTGCTTTCATCGTCGTCGACGTTGTGTCCCTTCGCGGAAGCAACGCCGCTGCCTCACTTCCAGATGCCCTACCAAACACTCCGCATCAACAATTTTAAAATTAATTACTAATTTCTATGATATATGGAATTTTTAAATAATAAAAAAATTAAAGACCAAGACCACTGACTCGGTGACTCAGTACATACAACGTGTTTGTTTGTGTATATATATATATATACACATAAAAGCTCAACATAGCAATTCCTTTTAAACCTATGGCCATTAGCCAAACAATGACCAACTCTAGCAGTGATTGGCTGCTACCGGTGTACCAAACCGACTTCACAACCGCCGTTCAGATCGGGACACCTGGCACCATCGCAGCCGTTAGCAGTAGCACCACCACCATCGCCGCGGCTGCGAGGAGTAGCTTGACGCCGGCCGATCACGTACACGTTCACGGCCGTATATCGAAGCCGATCCGACGGCGGTCGAGGGCGTCGCGGCGAACCCCAACCACGCTACTCAACACCGACGCGACCAATTTCAGAGCCATGGTGCAGCAGTTCACCGGAGGTCCGGCCGCTCGATTCGCCGCACCTCATCTCCCCGGCGGCGGCACAGGCTCGATGTTCGGCTTCGCGGTTCCCCCTGCGACTGCTCCAACCGCCGGTGGTGGATTCCACGTCGCGCAGTACCCGAACCAGTACGGCATGGATGGCGTGAATCGAGGCGATTTGTCGGAGCAATCGGCGGAGGAGACGATCCGGACTGATTATGCCAATTATATGATGCTCCGGTGAGGGAGGGAGGGGAAGAGGTTAATTTGGGGATTTAGGGTTTGTAAATTCTGTCTTCTTCACCACCACGATTCATGCATCTTTTGTTCTTTTAATTTTGCTAAGGCTCTGCTTATGTAGTTTGTTTTTTACGTCACTTGGGGGTGGATTCAATATGAATTTTATTGGACTCTCTCTCCAATTCAGATTTTAAAAAGTTTTTTAAAATTTTGGTGTATTTAATCTAGATTTTTAAATTTTTTGTAAAATTTGGGTGTATTTAATTAAGATTTTAAATTTTTTTCTTAAAATTTTGATGTATTGAACAATTCATAGATTTTAAAAATTCACGGATTTTGTTGGATTCTTTAATAAAATTATTAATAAATTACACTCTATAGTATAGAATGTCATGAGGTGAGATTTCAATGAATTCTCAAAATTAATAAAAAAGTACATATAATTTTATTTATAATATTAATAACTATATATTATTTTATATGTATTTATTATTTTATTATAATAATATCAATAAGATAAGAAAATTTAAATGTTTAATATAAAATTACAAATATTTTAAAGTTTTATATATTTGAAATAATATTAAAAAAATATATATAAAATAACAAATAAACTTGCTCAAGTAGTTCGAATTAAAATTATCAGTTTTAATGTTTGGAAATGTCAAATCAAAATTAAATTTTCCATAATTTTAATTTATATTTTCTTATTTCGATTTCAGTTTCGTCAGTTCAAAAACCACCGATTATATTTGACAACGTTAGTTTATGTTTATTCATTTTTAATTATTTTATTTTTAATTTTAATTAATAAAAATTGTAATTTTAATGTGATTTTATTTATAAATACATTTTTTTGGTATAAAAATTCATATAAATAATAATAATAACAATTAAATAGATTGTTATAAAATAAAAATTAATTACGCTGAATATATGTAATATAATAAATCCGATCAAAATAATATTATAACAAAAAATATATATTTAAAAAATAAAATTATTATTAAAATAAAATAAAAGTGAGAATGATAATAAATATATTTTTTTGAGAACTAATGTACTTTTTAATATTTATTTAAATATTTGTAATTTTTTATATACATACAAGTATACTGTATATATTTGAAATTGTATAAATTAATAAAAAAATATTTAATTTACAAATTTATAAAGTTTAATGAAGTATAGGGAAATCAATAAATAATTCAATCAAATCTATGAAAATCCATATAAATCAATAAACAAAATCAATTAAACTCTGTATAAATTCTATATAATTTATAAATCCACTCAAGTTTACGGACTTTTCAAAATCCAAACAAATCCATTAAAATTCTAATTGAATACACCCCTTAATTTTTAAATTGAAGACTTCTTTTCTTTTTCTTCTTATTTTTCATAAACAAAAAGAATCTAAAAATAGAATTTCAATGCCTATATTCAATAGGAAATCGTATTTCTTAGTGAAGGTTCCGCTTTCAATATTTTGAAGTGATTTTGGACAAAATTAAATACTATAATCATGTTATTTAATAAATACAGAGCAAATGTTATGCATTATAGATGAAATAAAAAGTGCAAGCATACACAATTTGGTGGTTTTTTTTAAAAGAATATTTTATAAGAGTTTTTGGTTTCGAAATTTAGTCGGTCCAATATCTCTCAAATGGATACGCGATTGAATCAAGTGATTTGCATTGGCAAAAGAATTTTAAGTCAAGGTTAAAAGTACTCTAAAATGCCCTTACGAATCCAAAGATAATAAGCGGGTTTGAGTATACCCGCAGTCCGACTAGCAATAGAGACAACCTCACATTGATGTCCAGAACGATAAGCGTGTTGGCTAAAGTGTGTAACACAAAATAGTTATAAATTAAAACTAAACTAAAGAAAGTAAAATAGCATTTGATAATTGATAGAGCGTGTGTAACATTATTTTGGCATAACACGACACAAGTTTTAAAAAATTCAAAGTGAAGAGATAATTGATAGATTATTTTCTTATAGCATTGAAAGTACACAAGAGAAGATAAACGAAATATCTATGTTAAAACTCTGCGAGCTATGACATGATTTGACTGTAAGACTATGGCGAAAATTCGTTTGAAGGACGGTGTGAGGTATCAAGTATCTAGATTCATAGCTAGACATACTCATCATTTGACTAGTTCTCATAAGAGTCATTTATATAGGTCCTACAGAAGAATATCCGATCCTTAAGTTGCCCAGATTGATCATGATATGGCTGAATGTGTGGGGCTTGCTCAAAAAGTCTCACATGATTTTATGGTTAAAAAAGCAAGTAGCCGAGATAGTATTGGATTCATCGTGCAAAAATCAAAAGAACAAAATACATGGCGGTTGGGGATACCGGAGAAGTGTTATAATATTTGCAGGGGATGCAAAATAAAGACATAAAATTTTCTTATTCGATTTAAGTGGACGAGGACGGATTGGTTATAAACATATTTTGGGTTGATAGGAGGATGAAAGCTTATTATGTTGATTTCGGTGACGTAGTAAGTCTTGATACTACATTCAGAAAGAATAGAGAAAATCGTCATTTGACCTTGTTTGTTAGTGTTAATCATAAAAAAAACAAACAGTTGTTTTGTGGCAGCTATTTTATATGACGATACTATTATATCTTTTAAGTGATTGGTTGACACTTTTGCTGACACAATGTATGGGAGAAAACCTACTATAGTTTTGACCGATCAAGATGCTGCTATGGAAAATGCATTTGCTTCGATATGGCCTGAGACTCATCACATATTATGTATTTCACACATAAGAATGGTGCGATATTTTTGCATTTTATTTTCGGAAAGGATAAATACATTGCAATGATTAAATTTGTTTATTTTTTGTTCAATTTTTAGGTTGTGTATTTGGCACATTTAACAAAATATTGCAGTACATTTGTATTCTATTTTCTCTAAACGTAAAACCTTTGCACATGTTATCTCCAAAATATTTATTGAATTTGGTCCAACCCAGCACAAGACAGGCCCAAAGATCCACAAACTCAGCCCGTATGAAGAATAGCCCAGCCCGGATGAACGAGAAACAGACTCAAAGCTCCACAGGAGAAGCAACTTACTTGGATTGGCAGCCCACTGCAAACATCCTGAGGTGGAACCGTTCCAGGGGAGTAGGTTATGTGGATAAGGAATAATGGAGGAGTGGTTAAGGTAGTTCCTAAATTTGTGGGCAAATGTGATTTAAAAGAAGCAAATTGAGGAAAAAAAATCATCCAATCAACACCAACAACAAATTCAATTCCCTTATTTACACTCTTTATTCCTGTATTATTTTCCTATTTTCTTGCTTGCATAATTGTCCAATTTAATTCAAGTTTTTCCTTAATTATTTTTTCTTCTACGGTTCTTCTTCTCTGTCTTCTTCATACTTCAACATAGCAACGCCTATATTATATTTCTATCGATTCATTTTGATCGCGAAACTTAGCCCGGATACTTCATTTAGTAGGCCGGCGAACCCGATTATTGTCGATTTTGAGAGGCCTAGACTTATTAGGCCGTCACGACGAATTTGAGCGACAACATCACATGACTTTAGGAGACGCATATATGATTTTGAGAAAGATGATTTTTTGGAGGGATGAAACGAAATATTAGTAAAGTATGATTTGTTGGAAAATGATTGGTTGAAGCGATTGTTTGGAGTTAAGGTAAAATAGATATCGGTATACGGCCGATAGTTCTTTCTTCTTTGATACTACTACGACATATTGCACTGAAAATATCAATAATGTCATCAAAATGTAGGCCAACCATAAGAACAATTTGCGATCTTTTTTTGAAAAGTTTGAAAATTTGTTGGAATCTCGGAAAGAACTGAAGGCTAATGTCAAAGCAAGCACCAGTGCACCTGTTCTATCTATCCTATGTTGATTGTTGAAACATGCTGAAAGTTTATATACCCTAAAAGTATTTAAGATTTTTCAACGGGAGTTTTGAAAAACTTACGATTGTGTCGGTGTTGTTAGTTGCATACGTGACACTATTACAGAATATTAGGTTAGTTGTTTTGGAAAACCAATGAGTTATATTGTTACATACAACTCGTGTGATGAAACCGTTTGTTGTAATTGTAAAAAAATTAACTTTTCTGAGGTATTATGCCACATGGGCTAAAAGTTCTTACAATAAATAATATTGTGAGGACTTCCAATCGATATATAATGAAGATGTGGACAAATGGTGCAAAAATAGGAGATTGACATAGTGGAATGATTTTACTGAACAAGACACCAATGGCCCTAAGAAACAGTTAAATATCCGATATAAGAATTTGAATATGTTCTTCAATAAACACATATGGTAACTAGTTACTACTATTTATATAAATTATATTTTTTCTATTTATGTATATACATATATTTAATTTATTCAAAACTTATCTTAAAATATTATTTATTATGCAGTCACTGATGAATGATGCGTATCTTCGGTCGCATAGCATCTTGTTACAACTAGAACAAATTCTGCGGCAACATGTAATTTTTTGCTATTTATATACATATATATATATTCACTTAGTAAAATATTATCTGAGAATATTATTTATTATGCATCCAGTGATGAATAATGCGTATCTTCGGCCGTATGACGTCATGTTATAGTCGGATCAAATTTTATAGCAAGATGTAATTATTTGCTATTTATATACACACATATATTTAGCTTATTAAAAAATTAACTAAGAATATTTATTATGTAGTCAATGATAAATGATGTTGCATCGTGTTATAACCTGATCAAATTCTGCAGCAACATGTAGCTTTTTTCTATTTATATACATACATATATTTAAATTAGTTAAAAATTATGTAAAAATATTATTTATTATGCAATCAGTGATGAATGATGTGTATCTTCAACCGCATGACATTGTGTTACAACCAGATCAATTTTTGCTACAATAGGTATTTGTGCTATTTTTATACATATATATTTTTAACTTAGTAAAAATTATTTAAGAATATTATTTATTACGCAGTTAGTGATGAATAATGTGTATCTTCGGCCGCATTCGTGTTACAACCGAATCAAATTATGCGGCAATAGGTAATTTTTTGCTATTTATATACACGCATATATATATATTTAACTTAGTAAAAAATTATCTAAGAATATTATTTATTATGTAGCCAGTGATTAATATCGTGTTACACTCGGA